GATCCCCTTGGCAATGCCTTGGGAGATGGCTTGGGCAATGACCTCTCTCATTTCAGCTGACAGTGCAGGACCCTGGTCCTCCATGAGCCTAGCCCTAGATGGGACATGTCGACCCCTGTCTGTGGTAGGCCTTGGTTCCTCCTTGGGCATGCAGCACAGGAAGGGCTCTAATTCCTCCCTTATGGAGGAACTGGGAGAATCCGGGTAGCCTAGGGAGGCAGGAGACCCCTCCTCAGACCCGTCCTCCATCAGGGAGGGAGACCTGTCACCTTGAGGTGGGGAAGGGGCCCCTCCCCCAGGTCTGTCAGGTGAAGGACAAGGTAATGAGACCCTACGCTCAGGGGATTTGGCCTGTCCCTGGGCCTTTCCAAGGTTTTTCTCTGAGGACTTGTGCCTCCTAACCTCCTCTCTTTGAGAACTTTTGCTCCCTGAGGAACCATGGGAATTATTCCCACCGGTGCCCTTGCTTCTCTTCCCCCTTTGTAGTGGAGGATCTGGCCTACTGCACTTCGATGCCATAATGCACCTCTTGCGATGATCCTTCCACGCTGACAGTATTGTGAGGGGAATCAGAAGCAGTAGGACGGCACCGGGCATGAGCCACAGCACTCACAGATCTGCTCCTGGAGCTGGAGTATGACCAGGAGGCCAACCACTCCTATGCCGCTCTGGCGATGTTCTGAGGGGAGGGAGACCACTTGAGAACAAAGCGCAACTCTTCAGAGGCCTCTGATTCTTCTCCCACGAGAAGAACATCTCGCCTCAGGCGGAGGGGATGGATGCGCTGAGGTGCAGATGGCCCTCGGGACTGTTTTATGCGTTCCCTCCCCTCCTGCTCATCCCGCAGGTAGTCGCCAAACTTCTAGCCAAGGAGGCAGAAATTCTACTGGTCGCTCCGCTGATGTCTTATGTTGTCCTCCAGTTCTGCCCCCACCTTATCAACAGTTGGGTGAGATGGGAAATGGGCTTCTCTCCCTGTTCAATGACCCAGCTGCTCACCTCTTCCCTTTCACTCCCCTCCCAAACCATGCTACAGAGGAGGGCGGGTGAGGCTTGGTTGTCTTACCTGATCCCTTTCCACTCTTTTGGAGTCTGTGACTGTGAAAGGCCTCCACTGCTGCTACACATCAGCTTTGTCCACCACTGGGGGTGCTTTCTTCTGTTCACCCCACTCTGCAGATCACCTGCCCGACAGTGGCTGCCACCTCCTCCAACTGCCACTTCGGTCCTGTGTGACCACCTCACACTGCTGGTCCCTGTTCTCCATTTCAAAGGCAGCAGCTCTGGGGGCCTGTAGCTCTGCCTGCCGTGTTTCAATAGATGCTGGCCTTGCTTTGAGACAGGCCTGTTTCAGCACCTTGAGCCCTTGGGGGGTTTGCCTTGCCACTTGCTTTCCAACTCCGTTGTGTTTTCTGCCGCCACGGAGCTCTAGAGCTTGGAGCCACACCACCCAGCTCCCCTCGCTTCCCCAAAGCATTCCTTCACTAACCTCCTTTCCAGCTCTGTTGCGTTTCTTTGCCGCTGCGTGCAGGGCAACAAAAGAAGTTTGTGGGACTAAAAAAATAAAGTTCAACCAGACCTTCCAACTTCTCATGAAAAGATCTCAAGGGCATCCTCCCCCCCCCCCCTGTAGTCCATCCATGTACAACCACTGGGAAGTTCTGAGATGTTTGGGCTGGTGAAATTCCACACTCAGGGCAAATGGCTTTGAAGATGACAATGCACTGCCATGAACAAGATTCCAAGATACTCTGCTCTTTCTCAGCTGACAATTCCCCCCCTCACAATTTCCTATCACAAAGGTATACACTTATTGCCCATTTGTTTCCCTCCTCCCTTCCTCAATCGATGACAGAATGCTGGCAAGGCACCAAACAAAAGCTGGTGGATCTGACACCACATCTGATCTCAGATAAAGTGATGTCCCAAAGGTCAAGCACCATGCTAGAATATGCTTTCTGGGCCCCATCAGTCTATAGCTAATGGGACCCGGAGCATGCCCCTCCTGGGTAGGACAAATCAAAATATTTAGACAGCAACAGTCCTGTGGTCCCAAGCCATAATAAAAGGCTTTAAAGGTAACCTTGCATTGCACTGGAAGGCACCAATGTATCTTGAATTGCACTGGAAGGACATTTTAAACCAGTATAGCTCATGCAACAGTGGTGTCACATGGGATTGTGCTAATTAACCCAGTGCGATTAACTGTCTGCCAGATATATATTCGGCTCTAGTATATTTGTAAATACAACTTTCAAGATCATTTCATACTTCAAAAATGCCTTTACTCTAATTTCTAACATGTGACCTGTCCACTATAGGCAGGAAAGACTATGGTGTTTGAGATTTTCAGGGCTAAAAAAGATTGTTCCTGTGCACTGATATGATTGTATTGCTATTGTTATAGCTATTGATTATAGAAATAGCATATCACATATTATTTATTTTGTACAAATGATCTCCCACTAGTTTCCTGTATAATTACTATCTGTGGGAATTTAATAATATTTGATTTTTATTTAAAGCTAATGTTATGAATTAGTTACTTAAAAGAATAGTAACAACATAACTTGAAGCAATTGTTTACATTTGCAGATTTTATACATCTTAATTTTCCTTTAGGAAAGATTTAACCCATCTTTTCCCAGCTGAAACCCTAACATTTGTTTTTGCTAGAAAAAGAAGAGCAAAAACCACATGTTCACATTCTAATTTGCAGGATTATTTTTATGTGCAAAGATATTTGTGCAAGAAATATTTGCAAATATTATAGTAGAAAGATGAAAGATGCAAGTACTATAATAATGTAAAGTAATTAGTTAATACAGAATAAATTTTAAAAAGTAGTATAATACCTTTGATTATGCAATATTAAAATTTTCCTGGATTACACAGACTATTTATTTTTACTCCTTCATTGGCTAGACAGTGAACTTGGCTTGACATAACAGAATGTCTAACCATCCAAAAGTATTTTATACACATCATATTGAGGGATGAAAGCCAGTTTGATGTAGTAGTAAAGACACCAGGCCAGAAACCAAATTCTAGTCTTTCTTAAGAGTTTATGCACTGGAGACAAATTCCTTGTGTGTCCAATCACACTTGACCAATAAAGAATATTCCATTCCATTCTCCGATGTTGGGCCAATCATTCTATCTCAGATCTGGGAAGGAGGCAATGGCAAACTGTTTCCAAAAACTTTGTCAAACAAACCAAAGGGACTGGTCCATATAGCCACCAGGAGTCAAAGACTGTTTTGAAGCCTAAATAAATAGGGATATGAAGACTTCTTTTCTCTTTTAAATAATTGCATGAAAATCTTGAAGAACAGGAGCCAAGGGATTTTTCCTTTTCTAGTACCATCCCAGAAATCAGTGGCGTGCTTTTTTAAATTCCTCCAGAGCAGGGGGGTCAAACTCGTGTCATCATGTGACGTATCATGATTTTTCCCCTTCACTTTAAAATTAGCATTCCAAGTGGGTTCATAGACTCAGTTGTGTAAACAAATTACTCACTTTTTCAAAACTGGTAATAAATTTAATGTAACCTATTTCTGTAAGAGTGTAAGTTTAAATATTTGAATGTATTAATCATAAAATGAAGTTTTTCAAGCAATAGCTTTCTCAACACATCTGTCTTAATCACAATCTTGTCTATACAAGTCAGAGTTGTGTAAATTTAGCAGATGGTTGTAAACTGTATCAGCAGTTGTATCACAAAATTAGCTTAATTAGGGAAGATTTTTTTTTAAATGTCAACTGTCTTCATTGCCAGCAATTTGGCTGAATTTATATTGTCCTGTTTGCATTATTTTACTGCCACAGCTAGAAAACAGTTTAGGTCTATTGGTTTCATCTTTATGGAACATTAAAAATTTAATGTCTCTTTAAAGAAGTATATGTTACTTCTTTTTTTCAATTTAAGAGCTGCTGTAGTAAATTATTTACCACTTTTTTAGCATTGCAATAAAATGTATTTTTTGAATCTTCTTCAATTATGTTCATTATCTCAATGTTTTTTTTTATTTCTACTACAATTTATTAACATTGTTATTACAACCACTTATTGCATTTATAGTGCTTAGGGGCAGGTGATGATATTTAAAACAAAAACAGATAAAAGGCAACATAATTATTGCATCATTTATATGCGCATTCATCCAGCCATCAATTAGCTCAAGCTTGTGAATGTTTTACACTCTTCCCTTTATTTGTATCTCTCCAGATTCAATCAATATTATCCCCACAAGAACCTTCTGATGATGATCCAAAGTCACTAAATGGCAAAGTGGGGCTATATCTAAAGATACTAAATATATGTTACACTGCCTGTAAAATTAAACACTCTGACTTTTCCACAGTTGTAACATTCTTACTTTTTTTTTGCTATCTAAATTTAACATGTGTTATTTTGAACTCTGGTCTATGACTGTAATAAGCACTATTTTACCTCTCATGCCCCTTCCCCCCATTTATATATAATTACTCCTGTTTTGTATGATCACTATGTATTGATCTTCAGAGGCACTTCAAAAAGGGATTACAGATATTGGGGAATGGTCAGGATGATACAATACAAGGGTGTCTTTTAAATCCAAATGATTTGTGACATAAGTACTACGAATTGTGGCCAGAAAAGAGCTGATGATCAATTCCATTTTTTAAGATAGGTGCAGTGTTCCCTTTATGTAACAGTATGCTTCAGTTCATATTGGTTGACCCTGGTTGAGGGTTTAAAATACAAACAAGAATTCTTGTTTTAAAGGTATACATGTCTTTAGACAACATACCTAAGTTGCACATTGCTGGCATCATTTGGGACTCCCATATTTTTTTTTAAAAAAAAACTCATGAAGTTCTTTGTGTTCTTTTTTACATAGGGAAACAGAAACAGCTGGAGGCAGAACACCAAGAGATGTATGTGGAAGCTGACCACAGCCTTCACTTGTCCACAAGCCGGTCAGCTCAACCCCCAGCTGAGAAGCCCGGCGAGAGAAGAATGGCTGAAATGAGAAAGCTCTATGGCAAAGGTGCCAACAAAATACAAGCAATGGAGACCACCATGCAACTCAACTTTGATAGGAATTGTGATACAAAACAGCCCAAGTACTGGCCAATTATTTCTCTGAAACTCTGAGTATGCGCCTCTTTTCTTTTTGGGAGATTCAAAGTTGTATATCCTGATGTTCAATCAAGTAGAAGGATTAAGGGAATGAATCAAGAGTCAGCAAAAGACCTTTTTAATTTTCCTTTCCCCTTTCCAGCACAACTTTGAATTTGTCTGCCAATTTCCAGAGTCTATTCCAACTCAACAAGAAAAGCTGAATCAGTCATTTGTACAAGGGATAAGGAAAATTCTCTTTTAAAGGGTTTTTCAACTAATTTAATCTTGGCATGTGTTAGCCTTGCAGGAAATGAAGTAACATTTATTTTTGTTCAATTGGGCTAGGGAAAATGCTAAAACTATCAAAATTCAAAGCATTTTTTAAAATAGTTTTTAGTGCTACACAGGTTTTTCTGTAGGATTTTAAATGCAGCCATTTTTTTGCAGCCATTTATTTTCTTGGAGGCACCTGTATTAATTGGACAAAATATCTTAAATTACTGTAATTTTGCTTTTAGAGATTGGGTTAAGCTGTATGTGGAGAAAGTTTCTCTTCCAAAATGAAAAGTTTGGCTCTAGGGTTTCAAGTCAGAAGCAAGCATTATCTGCTTTCATAGAAGTAACAGAACAAAAAAAACCCAATCAGATTAAAATACATATTTTTATTTATTTTGAAGTTGTATTTATCTAATCAAGAAGAAAAATAAACTAGACATAGGGATGGGGATGGAATGGGGAAGGAAAGAGATTATATGTGTGTGCATGTGATTCTCATCATGACTATAGTGGAACAAAGTTTTAATTCCAATCAAGCCATGTTATTTCCCCTCCGTGGCTACTGATTTTTCTCTCTTGTCTTACTTAGGTATAGCAACTCAAAATCCAACTTTTAAAAGGTGGTTCAAAACTAACATTCTTGTTAACTGAGAAAGAGAAAGTCATACATATGCATAAATAAATGTATTAGCTGATATCTCTGTCTCGTGTGAATATATGTTAGAAGTTCTATGGTTTTCAGACATTTCCTTTGGATAATCCATTTCCTCAACCAGTACCTCCATAGACATACTATGCTAGATCTGATTAATTGAAATAAGATATTTGCATCCTTGCCATTCAAATTCTCCTAATTGGTACAACATCTCCATTCAATGATCTTCCTTAAAATGCATACTTATTTCCTTGCAAAATTAGCAGCTATATTAGTAAAGAGCTTGTATTTTATCGATTTCTACATTCAGAATAGAAGTTTTATACATAGGGCATTTAGAGAACATGTGCCATGATCTGTTTTCCAAGTTTAAGTTTATTTTGTGAAAAATTTATTTTGTGAAAATCAGTTTTATTCAAAATTTACTTACACAGATGGCCTTTGTTGTTCATGTGTATTTTTCTCTGCAAGTGTTTCTATCATACTTAAGATTGTTCTAAATTGACAAGGACATTGCTCAATTATTTCAACTATTTTGAAAAGGGCTGTTGTTTCACAGGTATTTGTAGGTAAAAGATTTTTTTTCTTTTTTCTTTTAATAATAAGGAGTGGAAGCTTACAAAAGACAGTTTGTGGGATGGCCTCTTCTAAGTGATATCTCTCCATCCCAGACACTCCCGTTAGAGTAGGTATGTAATTAAATGCGATCCAGAGGTATGCCTATTCTGTTGGAAGGCCTGCTCTTTGCAAAGATTGCCCTCAGTGGGCCTTCTGAAAGACAGTAAAAATTTAGATCGTGGGACCAGTATGATTGGAATTACCATCTGGAATGTGAGCTGCTGGTTACTTAATTGGTTCTTAATTGAAATTGTTTTAACTTATTTTGTTTGTATATCACTCGGAGTCTCTGTGTTTGAATTGGACAGGCGTATGGATTATTTTAATAAACCTATACAGATTTCCTATACAATTGTTTGGATGAATTATTGTACAGCAATTTGCACAATAAAATATGCATTTGGAAATACCATTAGAATAATTGTTATTGTAAGGTTCTCAGAAAGCCTTGTTCTGTTATTTGGTAAAAATTCAAAATGGTGTCTGCTTTAAAAAAATAAAAGCCACTTTCCTTTTTTGTTCACTGAGGGTGCTGTCAAATCTATTGAATTATTTTTAGAAAGTATGCTTTTTAACAATACATAATGATTTATTGTAGCTTGCTTTTTAAACAGGTCTGTTAAATAATCTTTCTTGAAAGGGCTGCAGTTAAAGTATGATTGTATTAAAATATATTTTTAAACTCACAGTTTATTTGAAAATATTCAGAGTTTTAAAGCCAAACTAAGCATCTTTTCAGACTATAAAATTTTATTAAAACACTTTATATTTTGTCAATTACTCTATTACATCTTTCATTCCTGTGCATCTGATGAAGAAAATTGTAACTACCAAATTCTTTTAAGTTTGAAAGGTAAAGAAAATTGTAATCTTATGTCTCTTCAATCAGAAAGTAATAATTAAGAAATTTAAATTGAGTATAGATGCAGTCCAACTCATACTTATGCCCATTGCAAAAATATTTGGGGAGAAGATGAGAGAGAAGTGCAAGTATATTGAAAATCAAATTAAAATCAATTAAGACCAATTTCTTATTTACCTTGTGATTTAGCCTATTTGGCAGATATAAATTAGGGGCTTGGCTTCAGATATAGTAAATTGTCATTTTCTGCTTAGTTGTTTGCATGAAGCATAGTACTTTATATTCAGCTTGTTGTCTATTCAGTTAACCAACAAAGTGTGCATTGAGACGGTGAGTGAACATTGTTGTAATTCATGGCTGAGTTTTTTCCACACTCATTTCATTTCATTTCATTTATTATATTTATATGCCGCCCTTTCCCCCCGAAGGGGACTCAGGGCGGCT